CACTGCAGTAATGACACATTCTATTATATATATATATATATATATATATATATATATATATGCATTATGTAATTGTATCTTATTCACCCTCACTGGAGTCCTATTGTCAGCAAATGCTATACAGACACACTCAGACGTAGTTCCTGTCCTGAAATGTTTTTATATTATGGTCTTCTGAAAATTTGCATTTTTCTGTGAGCCTATTTGTGGCTCTTACATACAGTTATTCCAGAAAGATAGTAAGAAGTAATAACAGCTCTGCATTGGCAAATACCTTAGGTTCATTGTAGGGTAAACTGATGCCAATGAACATGAAAGAGCAGATGTAAATGTTATTATTTTGGTTGTGATTGCATCTAGAGGCCTCAACTACAGTCTTGTGCAGGTGCTGTACAAAAAAACTGCCTATCCATTTCCCCAAAGAGCATTTAACTGACATGAAAAGAACTGACAAAATGTGAAGAAGTGACAGTTAGAGCACCAGAGGAAGAAGGTAAAAAAGGAGGGGTTTAAAATGAGAGAGGGCAGATTTAGATTAAATATTAGGAAGAAATTCTTTACTCTGAGGGTGGGGAGACACTGGAACAGGTTGCCCAGAGAAGTTGTGGAGGCCCCATCCCTGGAAGTGTTTAAGGCCAGGTTGGGTGGGATTCTGAGCAACCTGGTCTAGTGGGAGGTGTCCCTGCCCATGGCAGGGGGGTTGGAGTGGATCGTCTTTAAAGGTCCCTTCTAAACCAAACCATTCCATGATTCTATGATTCTATGAATGGGAAGCATGGTAACAATACTGCCATCTAGAAAAGTATCTGCTTCATGTAATAAATCAAGATAGTCCATTAAAGTTTCTGATTCCATTAGAAAAGTAAAAAAAAAAAAAATTACCTCTGCCCAAAAAAAACCCCTTTCATAGTTCTCATGTTTGTGGAGAAAAGATTAGGGGTAACTGAGTTACCTAAAGTTCTTAAATTTAGAAGACTATAAAATGTACTATGAAAAAGTAATATCAAATACTATTATTTTTAAATTACTCCTTTTTTTTTTTTTGAAGCCAGACCACTGCTTGTGTTGTCAACGCTGATATAAACAAGCTTACTATTCAGAATGAATACAATGGAGTAGGAAGCAATACTTCCTATATCACTGATAATCAGATGGCAACATATATGTCATTATTTGAGGCTTAATGTCTTTTTTATGCTCTGGAGGAAATGGAGATTCTTCAGCATTTAATTGTTTTAATTTATTTCAGTACATCACACAGCACAATGAACAGACCATTGATAAGGCATAACCTTAAAGAATATAAATCTGAGGCAACATCACAAGTGACATTCTTTTTTCCATTATATTAATGAGGGAAAGCAGTGAAGTTAAAAAAAACCACACCAACAAAACAAAACAAAACAAAACACACACAAAAAAAAACAGAAAAGCAGGTTAGCTCTCAGTTTTCCCACAAGAAGTGTTGAAGGTACCAGACAAATAGAAGCAAAAAATTATCTATATTTGTAGTTGTGGAAAAAGTGT